GACTCCATCCTAGACAGTGGGTGAGGGCTTTCTGACCATGCTGCAGAATGGTGACCTGGAAACAGCCCTTGCAGCTCCAAGAAGTGGTGATATTCCCATTCCTCTCGTTTCTCCAGGTATTACAACTGGGCAGTGGCTGCTCCCATGGTCCTGTCCCTGCAGGCTTTCCAGAGGAACATTCCTGAGGTCAGTGGCATGACACATCTACAGCTTGCCCTTCTCAGCAGGGCTCAAATGCGCAGAGGGGCTGCGAGAGGCCAAGCTGCCAGGCTGGGGTAGAGCTGGGCCACAGGTATGGGTGGCTTTTACATGCATGTGGGTACCACTGAAGTCTGAAGAGTTGAGGTTCCCTTACCAAAAATTACCTGTTCTGATGTCTGTCTGTGCAAGGGCTGGTCAGAGCTGGGCCTCCTGGCAGTCTGGGAGGGTTGGGGCTGCATAAGTCTGTTCTAGGGCTCTGTAGAGCTGGCTGGGGTTACGAGTGACTGATTTCCTCCTGTGTTCTGCCACACTCACAGCACACCATTGACCGACTGGTGAAGGAGAAGATGCCCAAGAGAGGCAGCAGGTGGTGGTTCTCCTGGAGGAGGCGAGAGTTCCCAGCAGAGGAGGTGTTTGCAGTGCTGGCTGTGACAGCATGCCCCCGGGGGATAGGGGCCGTTCTGGTGGGGAGGATGATCTGAGGCTGAGCATGAGAGCAGCCGGAGGGACCTTATGGCAGTGACCTGGGAAGGCTGCTGTCCCTTCAGGTCTCTTGATGCCTGAACAACACCTGGTAATGCAGTAGCACAGACCTGGCAGTGGCCTCACAGACCTCTCGCCACGTGCCCTTCATGCCACAGCCCAGGCACCGCCTGTGCTTGGTCTCCCTGCCCCTCTCTGCCACTGGACTGCAGCCCCTCTTCCATGGGACACCATCCCCTTCAGGGCAGGGGAATGCATTGCCACTGCTGCTTTGGTGTCACCGCTCCGGGTGGCAGTGAAGCAGCCCTGCCTGTGACTCCAAGGTGTTAATGATGCCCCTTTCCACCCTACAGCAGCAGTCAAGGCCAGGAAAGGCTAACATGGGGACACTGCAGCCTGAGTCTGCTCAGCAGAGGTGAGTGCCTCTCTCCTGCTAGGAGGCTCGAGCTGGAGCACCCAGGCTACCTTCAGGAGTCTGTGGGCTTTTATCTTTTCTAAATGACCAGTTGTTCCCAAATCTGCCTTGTATATGAGGACAGAAAGCTCTTTTAAGGCTCTGGCTGACTCTGTCCAGCCAAGCTCCTCAATGGCCAGGTGGGTGGGTTGTCCTGGGTCCCCTCCAGTTCTCCTCCCATGCTCATAGTGGAAGCTGTGGGCTGCAGAATAAAGGCACTGTGCTCTTCCCTTCCTCGTGTAGGCAGGAGGAGGAGGGGTCCTCCAGTGATGAGGAGCCCCTGCACCCAGGGGATGCATCAACAACAGACACCTCTGCACAGAAATTTCTGCCAACCTACAAGAAATCCCTGAGGCTGTCATCAGAACAAATCGTATGTACTCTCCTCCTTCATTGTCTGCTTGTGTGTGGGGAGGAGACAACCTCTGAATGGGGTTTTCTCTACTCCTGACCTTAAGATTCTCTAGAGCATCCAAATATTTTGCCCTGGGTGGCTCCTGTGTAGGGGCTGTGGGTCTCTGGGCTGCTCAGGTGTTAGTCCTGGCCTGTGGAAAGCCTTGGTCTGGCACGTCCCAGTGCTGGTGTATCGTGCTTGTTCCCACTTCACTGCAGGGGAGGCTGAACCTGCAGGATGGCCCCAACGAGGTGGCGTTCAGTGTGACAACTCAGTACCAGGGCACGTGCCGCTGTGAGGCCACTATCTACCTGTGGAACTGGGACGACAAGGTGGTGATCTCTGACATCGATGGCACCATCACCAAGTAAAGGGCCCTTCTCCCTCCCTGTGCCATGTTAGGGGAAGGTGTCCTTCCAAGGCTTGCAGAAGCAGCCAGGAAGGACCCCAAATCCCACCAGGTTGGATCAACCTAACCTGGTCTCCTTTTCTTTTAGGTCAGATGCTCTTGGCCACATCCTACCGCATCTGGGGAAAGACTGGACTCATCAGGGGATAGCCAAGCTCTTCCACAAAATCCACCTGTAAGTATCAGAGCAACTAGGAGACCCCAAACGGAAGCAGGAGGCTGATGGAGAGACCAAGTGGGAGCCAGTATGGCTGATGGAGGAAGATGATGGAGGCTTTCATTGCAGACACTTGAGCTCCTGCCCTGTTACCAGCACTATGGCATGGTCCAAGTGTCTCCGTCCTCTCCTCTTGTTGCAATCCATGAGAGCAAAGATGTATTAGAGGCTGCTGTGGGTGCCTGAAGTAGGGATGGGGCATTCCTCCAGGCACTGGGGATGCATGATAGTGGAGGTTCTGCCAGTGAGGTGCAGCTGATGGTGCAACCGTGGGGTTGAGGAAACCTGACAGAACTATAGCAGGGAGGCCACACACACAGCCCCGTGCCTCTGTGTCTCCGTACAACAGCAGCACAAGGCTGTGCCCAGCACTTCCAGCCCCTTGGATGGGTGCTGGTCACCTTTACAGGCACCCAGCTGTCCCTTGCCCTGTCCCCCAAGGGGCCAGACCTGCCCGGGGGTGCGATGCTGCCCTGGTGCACCCAGCTGAGGCTGGCAGCGGGTCCCAGCTCTGTCTCTGCCACCTGGCCTCTGTGGCCACTAAGAGGCAGTGTGAGCCTGCAGATAGCTCATCTCCACCTCTCAGCTGTCTCTTACCATCTCCCTTCCCGCAGGAGCTCGGTGCCATCCCTGCCTGAGCTGGTGGCTTGGTGGGGGCTGTGACCAGCTCCCCACACACCTTGCTGAGCCTGGGGGGGGATGCAGTGAAGGTGCTGTCATCTGCTGGCCTGGTCCAGGGTGACTGAGCTCTGTGCAGGGCAGGAGGCAACTGTGGGGCACCAGGCAGCAGAGGCACCTTGCAGCTGGCGGCCCTGCTGCTGGGCAGGGGGCACACGGCTCCCCATGCCCTGGGGGTCAGTCTCAGCCTGCATCTTCTCTGGGTGAGGGAGCTGTGAAGGCACCGTGGGTGCTGACAGGGTGAGCAGGGTGTGGGCTCATGGCAGGTACTCAGCCTCCCCCTCCATCCTTTGGGGTAGGAGGGTGCTGTGCCTAGGTCACAGCTCAGAGGGTTTCCCTGTACTCTCTTTAGGAATGGCTACAAGTTCCTCTACTGCTCAGCCAGGGCCATCGGCATGGCACACGTCACCAAAGGCTACCTCAAATGGGTCAACGAGCAAGGCTGTGCCCTCCCCAAGGGCCCCATCCTGCTTGCCCCCAGCAGCCTCTTCTCTGCTTTCCACAGGTACCTGTTCTCTCTTTCCTTGTGCTGCACCCCTGGGGGTGGCATTCCCCCCCCATACACCCATCTCAACCCTGGGGGCTGCTGCAGCCTTCAAGTGCCCTTCTTGGTGTAGGGTGCTGCTCATGGGAGGCAGCAGGGGAGCTGCCTGTCCTCCTGGAGCTTTGTGGTGAGGCTCTCGCAATGCACAGAAACCCTTCTGCTTTTCCAGTCCCTTCTTTGAGCCCCCAGAGGGCCTGGCTGCATGCAGTCCTGCCCTGCAGGTGCTGCTCTGACCTCTCCTCTGTGCATGTGCCTTGTGCTCCAGGGAGGTGATTGAGAAGAAGCCGGAGGTGTTCAAGATAGCCTGCCTGACAGACATCCAAAACCTGTTTGCCACGAAGCTGCCCTTCTACGCGGCTTTTGGGAACAGAGCCACTGTGAGTGGGGGGGGGGTCTGGGGACTGGGGCTGGGCTGGTGGTGGCTCCTTGCTGCCCCTCTCACTCCTTTCTGCCCCTCTCACACCTTGCTGTCCCCCCTCGGCAGGATGTGTACACGTACAGGCACGTGGGCCTGCCCGAGAGCCGCATATTTATGGTCAACCCGAAGGGAGAGCTGGTCCAGGGGCTCGTGCAGAACCACAAATCAACGTAAGGGGCCTGCTTGTTCCCCTCTCCTCTGGGCCCCACCCTGTGGGAGCTGTTTCCTTTCCTACCCCCCTGGTTTAGAGCAGGAGCAGTCTTCATAAGATTGCTTCAAGCCCTGCTGTTTTGCCCGTTATTGCCGTTATTTGCCCCTGTAGGTACGAGCGGCTGTCGGAGGTGGTGGAGCTGATCTTCCCTCCCCTGGGGCAGAGGGGGAGCATTGCTCTGGCGTGCCCTGAGTACAGCCACTTCGCCTACTGGAGGCCTCCCCTGCCTGCTGTGGACTTGGAGGCCTTCTCCTGACCTCTCACCTGTGAGTCCCGGACCAGGACTGGATGTTACAGACGTCTCTGTGGTTGCTGCAAAGGACTCTTACTGCTAATAGGAGTCTGAAACCTGCTACTATCAGGTGGTGGTGTGCACTAGGAGCACCCCTTCTCAAGGCGCAGAAAGGGTGGGACAAAGGGCGCTTTGACCACCAGAAACTCCATGTACTAAACTGGACTTCCTACAGAACCTGTGTCTTAATGCTCGTTACCTCTAAAACCTGTCTCTTAAAGGTGGAACTGGGTCACTTATTGATGAGCTTCTGGCACAACTACTGCTACCTGCAGCTTGGTAGCCTGTGGAGTGAAGCTGTTGAGTGGCTTAACTTGTAAAGGTGGATGGAAGCTGGCATGTTTGAGTGCTTTTTCACTAATAGCAATAACTAATAAATTATTTCCATAAAATCCAGGCTGCCTCTTGATCACTGTAGCCTTATGCATAGGAGCGGGAGCCAGACTTGGTGTCTCTTCATGATCCTGGCTGGAATTATCCTGTGGGAGGGCCTCCATGAACTTCAGCCGTGCTCCTGCCTGCCTTGGGCTCCTGTCTCTGCTCTGGCATCTAGCTTCTTCCCTGCCTGCTCTGTGCAAGTGTAAATCACTTCCTGCTAGGCTGCCTGCCCTCTCTTCCTCTCTAAATAGCCTCAGTGTTTGAACTTAACAGAATCCTGGTGTTATACTTCTTTCCCTGAAGCCACAGAAGTCATTTTGATACTGGAAACCTCAGCAAGAACTTTATTTTTTTCTCTTCCAGTACAAACAGTCTTTCAGCTTTTAAATCTGAACAAATGTACAAGGTTTTTTTTAAAAAAACAGCCTCTTACCAGCAGCAGTTACCAACTGCCTCGGAAAGCTGCCCAGGGCAAGAGCGAGCACGTGGGCAGTATCTCCTTCCCTCTCTGCAAGCAAAGTAAAAAAAAAAAATGCCCTATTTTATACAAAGTTCCTTTTGCTTTTAAACAGGGATAGCTGAGAACTGAAATAAAAGTTGTATCTTCAAGTGACTAATCAGGAATAGTCCAAACATAGCACCATGTTCTGGAAGGTCAGACTTCTTCCTTGTCCTAGTTCTGTTATCACCAGTCCTGGCTCCCTCTGTGCTCCTCTTCAGCTGCTTTTTAACCAAACCCTGACTGCCCAGCTCCCCTGGAAGGGGGTGAGCCTGGGCCTGGGTTCAGTTTTCTCTTTGGTTGCTACAGCCCTTTTTTTGTCCCTGGTGTGTGAGGAGGAGGAGGAAGAGGGCTGGTATGGTGAGGGTTCCCCTGCACCATCACAAAGGGCTGGCTTGAGGTCCCTCCCCTGTGCTGGGGGAAGAAATCAGTCTCCTGAGACTGATTTAAGAGCAGGTTTAAGAGCAGGTTTTTGGGGATGCCCAAAAGCAGCTGGAGGTTGCTCCTCAGCTGGAGAAGTGGTTCACCAGCTTCAGTATGGTCCCAATCAGCCCAGCCCTGGGCATGGTGCTCACTGCTCCCATGGCACCTCCTGGCACGGGGTGGGAGCTGGTGTGGAAGGTGCCTCCACCTGCAGTGCTGGGCTGGTAGAAAACATATCCCTCTGCTATAACAGTGCCAGAACTGGCCAGGAGGAGGCTCTTTAATTTCCTCTTCATCCTTTCTGCTAACAAAGCCCCTGATGGTTGAGTAGGGGAGGCTGTCCATGCTGGTCTCCCTGGGAAAGGCAGATTTTGGTGAGACAGCCACGCAGTACGGGCACCTGCTCCATGGGACAAGGCTGGCACTGCTCAGGAACACAGCAACATTCTCCAGTCTTTGTGGGAAGCCAGAGCGAAGCTGGGTAAGTTGCTTTGGTTTTTCGTACCGCCTCCAGCCCTGCTCAGAGCCTGGAGCACAGCTCAACCTTTCCCCAGGGCTGAGCTCAGGAGAGGACGTCTCAAGATGCCCTGCTGGGAGCTCGATGGTGGCACAGGTTCCTGGATCCTCAGCATTCTTGGGACTCAGAGGACTGCAAAGAGGAAGCAGGATCCTGGATGGGGAAACCCAGGCAGAGCAGGTGAGGCCTCATACTCACGTCCTGGAGCAGCTGCACCTCACCTGCCCAGGGATGAGTTGGGGAAACCACGTTCACAGTTTAAGCAGTAAAACAGGAGAGAACCAGAGCTGGAAGGCAGGAGACTGCTCCGTGCCTGGCTTTGTCTCTTCTGAGACCTACACGCACACACGTCTTTGGGAAAGACACAAGTTTTCCATAACCCTTCACATCAGTCCCAGGTGTAACCAGAAAGCAAAGTAAACAAAGCGGAGGGGGACTGCAAACCACAGCAGCCCCCAGGGACCGCCTGGGTTCGTGCAAATGCTGCTGGGACAGTTGATGGCTGCTCCGTGTGGCTCCTCAAAGTACAGCGAGGGAAAGGGGGCAGCAAGAGCAAGCTCTGCACTCAGCCGAGCACTGGGACAGGGGATTGTTCAGAGCTACAGACACACGTACCATATCCACATGTGTTTTCCTAATGCATCTCCTCACGTGCTCTGGAAGGCATGTGCGTTTGCGTGAAGAAGGGAGCAGGATAAATGGATTTACCTTATGCAAGGAGGGCTGCCATCTCGAAGAGGGGAGTGCAGCTCCCCAGGGGCTGTGTGAGTACGTGTTTTCTTTGAAATCCACAGTTCCTGTGGTGAGTTTTGTTCCCTGCAAGGAGCCCTGGCTCTGTTCAGTCCCTGGATTAAGATGCAGGTGGTCTTTAGGTCAGAGTAGCTCTATTCCTCAACTGACAACTACAGGGTTTTATTCTTCAAGAAGCGACAAATCCACAAAAATAAAATTTAAAAAACGTCCCCGCCTCCAGCTTCCTCCTGAATTGTCCTTCTGGGGTCATCAGCCCCAGAGCCAAAGCAACACCCCCGGCCCCGAAGGCAGCTCCCTGCTCCAGCAGGGCTGGCACAGCTGCGAGCTGCGGAGGCGAGCACACAGAAAAAAATAAAGGAGGAGGAGGAGGGTGGCGAAGAAGGGTTCGTAGCAGCTTTTAATTTATCTTTTCATTAAAAAAATATCCAAAGACCTGTTGTCACCTTGGAGTCCGTGTGATATAAGTTAATGGAGCAAGGAGCACGTTTCTGCACAGCTAATGCTGCTCCCTCTCCGCCTGCTCTTCCAGGTGGCCGACCTGCTCCGCCAGCTCCGAGACCTTGGCTTGGCAGTCGAGCAGGTTGTCCTTCAGTCCCGTTATTTCCTGAGAGTGGGCAGCCAGGGTCCCGTTCATACGGTCCATGTAGTCCCACAGGCTGCCTGTATGTTTCTCCAGTCCGTCCCTGATTCCGTCCAGGCTCCCCGTGACGGCGCCCAGCCTGCCGCAGACCCTCTCCACCCGCGCCACCCGCTCGTCAAAGTGTGCCACCTCCTGCTGCAGGTCCTGGGCCACGCTCCTGCAGGAGCTCAGGTCGCTGACGATCCGGGCTTTGAGTCGCTCCAGGTCTCCCTTGAGGTTCAGGACTCGGCGGTTGCTGAAGAAGAGCTGCGAGCCTTGGTCGTTGACTTTCTCCTGGATGGAGTGAACCTCGTCCTCGATCTTGCGCTCGTGCTCGTCCAGCGAGGAGTTGATGTGCGTCATGGTGTCCGAGTACTGCGAGACGGAGTCCTTGAGCCCCGTCAGGGACTTGCTGACGGTGTTCAGGTTGATCTTCAGCAAGGTGATCTCTCCTTGCAGAGCCCCCGCCGCCTCCTCCTCTATTCGCCGCTGGATCTCCAGGATGGTGGCGTTCAGCTTGCGCAGGAGGTCGTAGTTGCTGTCCATCCGGAGGAGCAGGTCCTGGTTCCTGTTCTGGCAGTCCTCGATCTCCGTCCGGAAGGTCTCCACGTCTCTGGAGGCAGAAGTGCAGCCCGAGGAACAGGTGCTCTCCAGCGTGACGAGGCGGCTCTGCAGCACCTCCAGCTTCTCGTCCGTGCGCTTCTTCATGCCAGCGAGCTCCCCCTCCAGCACGGGCACCACTGCTCCATCCATGCCCACGGGAGCACTGACGTTGTTCAGCTCCCCCACGATGGTCATGAACCTGTCCTCCAGGGTCTGCATTTTGTCCTCAAAGGCAGTCCTCATGCCATCCACCTCTGCCACCACTGTGCCTCTCATGCTGTCCTCTATGCTGGAGCAACAGCTCCCTGTTTCCCTCTCTGTAGCGTTGAGTCTGGCTTCCAGGTCCTCAAAGCGCCCTTCAAAGAGGTTCCCCAGGGTGACAGTGGAGATTTCTCCATCCATCCGTGAGTGCAGGTTCTTCTGGGACTCCGAGATGCTGTGGAGGCCCTTCTCCAGGATGTTCATGCGATCGGTGAGGTAGTCGAGGTTGCTGCAGCAGCTCTCCACCACCGTCAGCCCTTGGATCTGGGTCTCCAGCTGGGAGATCTCCTTCTTGATCTCCAGCTCCTTCCCGTCCAGCGTCTGCTGCAGCCGCAGGTTGGCGGCTTTCTCCTCCTCGCACTGCTGCCGCACCTCTTGGATCCGGAAATCACACGTGGTCTGGATCTTGCCCAGCTTCTTCTCGAAGCCGTCGAGCAGCTCTCCGCGCAGGGTGCTCAGCCGCGTGTCCACGTACTCCTCCAGCAGGTCGATGGAGGTGAGGGGCGAGGGCCGGGCCGACTCCAGCAGGTGCTTGATCTGCCCGTCGTGGTCCAGGACCATGCCGCGAACCTCGTGGAGTAAATCCGCCTTGGATTTCAGCACGTCGCTCACCTCCGTCACCTTGGTCAGGATCTCCCCCACCGGAGGGAACGCGGCGACGTCGGCTTTGTCCGCCGCATCCACCAGGCCGTCGGGGATGATGCCGAAGCCCACCGTGGAGTCGGGTGTGCCCGGGCTGTTCATCAGCGAGCCGATCATCTTGGTGGTGTCCTCCTGGATGGCCAGGCGCAGGCGGTCCCCCAGGCCGCTCACCAGGGCGTGCAGGCTGTCGTAGGACTGGGACAGGCGCCTCACCTCCTCCTCCAGCCGCTCCAGGCGGTCCCCGAAGAGCCCAGGCAGCTTCCTGCCTGCCCAGGGGAACACAGAGAGGGGACGGTCAGTGCCAGGGCTCCCTTAGCCTCCCCCCGGCTGCTTCTCCATTTGAGCCCTTTTCCTTACCAGCATTAGCTCCCTCCTCCCTCTCATTGCCATTTCAGCCAGATCCCTCCCCACCTTTTCTCCTTTCCCCCAGCATCTTTTCCTTGATTAGACGGGGAAAACCTGCTCTCTTTCAGTGCGTGGGGTCAAGCCCCGTGATCTCAAGTTCAACAGCAGGCGATGAGAACAGCCTAGGGAGCTTCATCTTGAGACGCGCTCTATCAACCCCCAAATTAACAGAGAAATGCTTTAAAGCAATGAGGTGAGGCGATTTCCAAGCTACACATTTTGAAAGGCAGCAGGTAAGAAAAGCAGGTGAGCCTCAAAGCAATCAAAGGTCAGGTTTCTGGGCAGAAAACAGGTCACCCGCTGGCATGCAAAACTCCTGCCCCGTGCTGGAACAGAAAGAAGCAGGAGGTTTGTGCCCAAGGACAGGGGGTGACAATCTGGGGACGTGAAGCAGGCACGAGGTCTCACCGTATTGATTCTTCTTGGGTCCTGCAAACAGGTCAGGGTGGCTTTTTGGATGGGGAGGAACTCTGGGGATCGGAAACATCTTCTGCCCGGGTGGCATTTTAGGGCTGGGATGCTGGGGCAGGAGGCCGGGCTGGTCGGTGGGGCTGTCGTGGCATCCTTCTCCCAGGAAGCCCGGGCAGCACCTCCAGGCCAGCTCGGTCACAGTCTTGTAGCCAATCTTGTATTTGGGTCTGAAGAAGGTGCGGTACCTTTCCAGGAGAGGAGAGGAAGAAAAGACAGTTTAGAGAGACAACCTCGGCTTCAGGCACTACCAAAGAGCGGGGCCGGGGTCCTGCTGGGTGGAGGAAAGCCCAGCTGAGACCCAAGCTCTGCACCCACAGAGCACAGCCCACCTCCTCCCGCAGCATCCCTCCCCCTGGGGCTGCAGCTCGGCAGCCGGCACCCCAGCACACTTGCCCACCCTCCCCAGGTGGTGCCCAGAGCCCTCGTACTGGGCTGGGACAGGACCCGGACAGGACCCAGGCAGCATCTGTGCCCACCACCAGCTGAGTCCTGCGGGGCTAAACACAGCGCAGCCCTTGCCACCTCCAAGATCCCGGTGCTTTGAAACTGCCTTTCAGAAAGCTCCAGCCTCAGGTTCTTCAGCCCCTCCTAAATCGGGGTTTGTTGTTTTGAAACAATGCACGCAGTTTGTCCTTGGTCCTGGGGGGCAGGAGGAGAAAGCAAGCCCAAACCCTGCAGTCTCCGCATTGCTTTCACATTTCTCTACATCAATAATTTGTCCTGTGTCTTTGAGAGTTTCAAACATCGTTTGGAAAAAGAAAAAAAAAAAAGCTCTTCCTTGTGCCATTCCTCTTCACAGAAGCTTCCAAGTTCCTGCGCTCCTTCCTTCCTCGTGTGCAGAAGCCTGCCTGCAGGTACCAGGGCAGGGAGAGGCAGGATGTGTCCGTGCCCAGCCACCACCAGCAGCATGAAGCAAGGCTGAGCACAGCCCCCAGGACACCTTCCCTGCTGCCTGCCAGGCTCCTACGGGAGCCCCTTCCAGCCCCGTTTTCCTCAGCACTGCTGCTCCGGTGGGCACGGGCAGGATGCAGGAGCACGGCACTTCTGCACAGAGAGCATCCCCAGCCGGGGGTGATGCACAAAGCCCCGCACGGCGGGGTGTTTCCCTTCAGCATTTATAAGGTGGCAGAGAGGTTTGCAAATATTTTCCCGGGGCAGGAAGCCCTCAGCCTTCCCCAGGCTCTCCCCTCGCTGCCACCTTCCTGCCAAATTGCAGCTCTGTGACAAAACGCTCCCCTGCGCTCCCCCCCTGCTTCCCACGGAAACATTCCCCATTTATTTCTGGCGAGGGGCCGAGCTCCCTCCCTCTCCTAAACAATCCCACCTTGCCTCCTGCCGGCGCCGCAGCATTAACCCCCCCCTTCAGCCCCTTTTGCTGCCAGGCACCCCCCATACTCACAGCACTTTCCCCGGGCACTTGGGTCCCCAGCTGCACTTGTGGTACTCGGCCTTGACGTAGCTCTCGGCGCCGTCCTGCAGCGCGCAGGTGACGTTGCGCTGCACCACGTAGGCGCAGTAGCTCCTGGGGGGGGAAAAAAGCACAGCAAGACAGCGTCAGCCCCTGCCCCGGGGCCAGCATCACCAGCAGCCCCCCGCCAGGCTGGGGAGGGGGCAGCAGGAGGGTCCCGGGGCAGGAGATGCCAGCGGAGTGGAGGCTGGAAGCCTCTTCGGTCCCTCGGATGGGTGGTGCGGGGAGCAGAGCCGGGTGCTGAGGATGAGGCAGCCGGGAGGAAGGCTGCAGGGACAGATGGAGGCCGAGGCCGTTCCTCTGGAGGTCGGAGCAGGTGGCCCGTGGGGATAGGGACAGCGGGGACGTGCAGCGAAGCAGGGACCGAGGGCAGGGGGAGGCGGCAGATGGCAGAGCGGGAGGAGAAGAGGGCAGAGGCAGCGCGGCTTGGGGACGGAGGGTCAGCAGGATGGAGCAGATGGGTCAGAGCGAGCTGCCGGAGCAGGGAGGTGCTTGGTGAGGCGGGAGGACCCAGCTCATCCCCGTCAGCTGCAGCGGTGGCTGCTGTGCCTGGCTGCAGGCTGGGAGCAGCCTGGCTCCTCCAGCTTCACCGTGGTGCAAGGAGCAGCCTGGGACTGCCCAGGGAAACGAGCTGTGGCACCCAGGAAGGTGAAAGGGCTGCCCCCTCTGTCCCCCAGCCCCACAGAGCCCCTGCTTCCCCTACAAGGAGCACCAGCACCCTTTCCCCAGCCCCTCTCCGAGGGCTTCTTCGCACCCCAACTCCCGGCAGCATTTCCAGCCTGCCCAGGTGCAAGTGGCCGTGCCCCAGCAAGAGGCTGCCAAGCTCCAGGCATGTGCAGGGACCGGTGCTGCTCCAGAAGTGAGTCATTTGTCCGAACACACGGCTACCCGAGAGCTAGGGCCAGCCACTTTGCTTAGCTGGAGGGAAGGGAGATCATGTGTGCATGTGGAAATTCAGGCTCACTGTCTATCCATAAATCCAGGATCTGGTTAAAAACGCTGCAAGCCTCCTCTTTAAGGAAGCTGGTGGCCAACGGAGGCAGATCTACTAGCCACTGCCCGTGACTACCTGGGGCAGGGTGCCGCTGGCTCCCTGTCCTCCACGGGAACCCTTTTCCTCCTCACCCACCTGTGGCTAACAGTTTTATTGCTCCAGCCCGATGCTTGAGGAGTGAGCAGCTGGAAAATGTTACGGGTTTTGGAAAGCTCTCCCTGGCACTGCCAGCATTGTTTGTTTCAAACCTTACTTTATTCATTTCAGCTTGTTCAGAGCGCTGCGTCCCCCCTTTTGCAGAGAAGCCCGATAAAAACCCTGCTCTGGCTAACGAGCCGAGGGGGGGGGAGCCCCCCAAAGTAACACTTTTTCCATTCAGTTACCAAATGGGTGCATTGTACGCGCAAAGCCCGCATTCCTCCGCCGCCTGAGCTTTCCAGGTTATACTCGGAGCTTATTTAAACCCCAGTAATTCCGCACCGAGCCAGCCCGCACCTCCCCGGGCGGTGCCATCCTGCCCTCCCCGCATCGCCCCCGCTACCCACGAGGAACAGGTACCCCACGGGCAGCCCCACAGACCCCCAGCCACCCTCACACCCCTTCCCCAGCCCCATCCACGGAGCACAGCAGCACCCACACCTCCCACCCCGCTCTCTCTCGGCTCCGGGACCCCCCTCAACCAGCCGGGGCTCGCCCCCCCAGTCCCGACCCCACTCCCCGGTGCGGGGATGCCCATAGGGTCCGCGCATGGGGTCGCTTACTTGTGCTTGCCCACGGGCTTCCCGGGGCTGAGCTGCGGGCTGGAGCCGGCCGTGTAGAGGCTGTACCTGCCGCCGTAGGGCAGGGGGGCGGCGGGGGGGTAGAAAACCCCCTTAGCATCAGCGAGAACCAGCAGCGTCCCCAGGGAGATGCAGGCGAGCAGAGCCCCGCGGCGCAGCGCCCGCCGCATGGTCCCGGGGCGGGATGGGACCGGGAAAGGGAAGGGGAGGGGGGGGGAAAAAAGGATCGGGAAAGGGGGGAAAAAGGACCGGGGATGGGAAATGGGATGGGAATTGGGATGGGGCCGGGACCCCGCCCGCTGCGCCCTGCCCTGCCCGGCGGCACACGCCGCTCCGCCGCCCGCCCGACCCCTTTTGTAGGGCGGTGGCGGGGGCGGGCCGCGCTCCTCCCCACTGCCCTCCCCCAGCCCCCGACCCCCGGCCCCGCGGGCGGGGAGACAAAGCCGAGCCCCCCGCCCCATCCCATCGCAGAACCCCCCCCTCTCCATCCCACCGCACCCCTCGCCCCGCCGGGGGCCGCCCCGACCCCGCGCAGCCCCCGCTGGCCGCCCCATGAAGGGGGCTGGATGGGGCAGAGCCCCCCCCTCGCCCCTTTGCGCGGCGCCCCCCCGGCGGCAGCAGGTGCCCCCGGGTGCCCCCACCCGCAGGAGCCCTGGGGCAGGAGGTGCTGGGTCCCTGCGCTGCCCCAGCACCCCCTTTAAAAGCCCCCCCCCAGCACCTCCACGCGCCCCCCGTGTGAGCCCCCCGGGGCCTCGGCTGCTGCAGGGGGGGTGCAGGGGGAGGAGGAGACCCCCACCCGTGGGGTCACAGCCCGGGTGCTGTCCAGGTCAGCCCGTAGCCCCGCAGAGGTGAGGCCACCACCACGCGGATTTGGTCCTAGAAGTGGAACCTGGGCTGAGCATCCCGTGGCACCGGGACACTCGCACCCCCTCCCCAGGAGCAGGTTCTCCACGGGGTCCTGCTGGGTCTGGCCGAGGCCATCCCGGGCAGGGAAACTCCTCCAGGAGGCACGCAGAGCTCCTCCGAAACTCTTGGAGGGAAGCAAGCGGCTGGGAAAGGGTGGCTGGGTGGGATCCCAAACACCAGAGTGAAACCTGCTGCTGGGGGAAGGAGTCATCAAGGCTTGGGCTGACGCTGAGAGAGATGATAAGATACCGAGACAAACGGCCCTTATTTTTTTTTTTTTTGTTAAAATGAGCCTTTGGCTGGGTCTGAGGCGGATACGGAAACATTAGCAGGAGAAGAAAACCCATAGGAGAGCCGTGCCGGGGGAGGCAGGCTGGAAAGATCGGGCAGGAAAGCCGGAGGAGGTCTGCACAACGAACCAAGGCTTGCCCAGCTCCGCTCAACCTGCTGCAGGGTGCAAAGGGAAACCAGGCTGCACCCCGCGGTGGCTGCGCCGTGGCTCCTGCACGGTGTGTTTGGAGCAGTCCTCATGCAGCTGGCCCCTGGCTGTCCCCATCCCCTGGGACAGCGCAGGAGGGACAGGCCAGAAGCAGCTCGGTAACAACAAACCCAACCTGCCGAGCCCGTGCGGTTTCATGCTGGATGCTAAAGCCGAGAAGTAACCTTGCGCACAGCTTTTGTTTTTTTTTCCCTGCGCTCAGGGAGCACGATCCAGTTTTCATAACAGCGTGCTGCACGTGCGTGTCCGAGGGCGCAGGAAAAAACATCTGCTGCTGCGTGGTTTCAGCAGAAACCCACGGTCCTGCCTTTCGAACCTGCAGCGGGACGAGCGGGCACAGCGGGGCCGCTGAGGGTGCTTCATCGTCCTCCCCATCCCAGCTGTGAAGGGGAAGGAGGTGGGAGCCACCGCTCTCGCAGGGCTGCGGGTGCACGTGCCTTTCTCTCCGCCTGTCCCTGCTGTCTGACCCCATTTCTGAAACCCTGGGTCACTTGCTGCCAGATTTCCTAGCGAGGCGAGATCCTCGGAGAGAACGAATTCCGCTATCCTGTTCCATTGTCTAATTGTTTCATGAAAAAAAAAAAAAAAAAAAAGCATCTGGGTAGACAAGAGAGAGCCAAACCTGGGTCCCCATTGCGGAAATGGATTCGTCATCAGCTGTATTATAAAACATCAAAGAACCCACACAGGAGAGAGCCATTACGAGTGCCCCAAACCATGGGAAAAGCTCTCATGTGTCTTGTTAGCCGGGAGCTAATCCCACCGTGAGACACGGGGCGGCAGGGAACGGGGTCTCGCTGAGCTGCACTCCTCACGGCACAGCTCGCTGCTCGCTGCTCGGTGCTGCCGTGCTGCTGCCACCCTCACCGCACACCCCCTGGGGCCAGCATCCCAGCTCCGGGGAACGACCACCTCGGGGTGAGCCTCAGCTCCAGGACGTCCTCCTGACGTGGCCGTGTCCCAGGGTTAGCAGAGAAGAGGCCAAATTTCATCCCCCAAAAAGCCACCAAGTGGGGCAGGAGGGCTTTGCCACCCTGAGCTGCCACTGGCTGGCTCTGCAGGCGCGTTCCTTGGTAAGCTTCGTGCCAGGGAGCACCAGCCCCGGGTGCCTGCCAGAAGAAAGCCCGGCTTTCCCTCCTGGGAGAGGAAAGGGATGGTGCCAGAGCTGCTGCTGAAGATCATTCCTGGACGCTGGGTAAATCTGAGACCCCCCCCAGGGGGCTGTGTCTGTCGGTGTCCCCCATGTGAGCAGCCCTGCAGCAGCTCGGGGTGTGATGGATTTCCCAATTAAGGATCCAGCAGAGATCTGGCTAAAAAGCAGGATCATTGTAGATGGCTCGAGAGGTGCCCCAAAATAGGAACTGTGCCCCAAAATAGGACCTCGGTTGGAGATGAGAGCGGGAGCAGATGCCCTGCGGGCAGCTCTTCCTTCCCCTGCTCTGTTCCCCGGGGTGGGCTGGGCGGCGAGGCCAATTTCACAAGCGGATGACACCAAACACTGCCCCGTTCTGCTTCACATGCTTTTTAATTAACACCTGCGTGGCCTCCCCAGCTGAATAATTGCCTCCCTTCATGGGTCAACAAGCCAGCAGCCTCTGACCTCCCGTTCCCACCTGGGTACGATGTTTGGGGTCTGCGCCGCCCAGCCCCCTGCAGGCCCACCCCGAGGTGGGAGAGGTACGAGGATGCTCCGGGGGCTCGGCAACGCCGCTCGCTCCTGGCCAGGACCGGCCTTTTCCATCCCCACCCCGAGCCAGCAGGGCTGGGCAGGGGGCACAGGGCGCGACGGTGGGAACAGAGCTGTCCCTGTGCTGCCAAGGGGTGGGAGCAGGTCCCAGCAAGGGAAATTTAAGATGGATATTAATAAAATAATAATAAAATAAAATATATTCTGGTAGTAACATTAATATAGCCCTGGAGGAGACTGCGTTGAGCCATCTGGAGGTTTTAAAGGAAAGGTTAGATTAAAAAAAAATCTGTCAGGACCAATTTGGGGTAGGGAAATGGATTGGATGTCTTCCCGAGACCTCTCCCAGCCTGAGTTTTTCCGAGTACAAATTCATTTCCCAAAGTGGCAGCCCAAGTTAGAGGCAGAGTTCCTCCTGAATGATCCCCCCTGGCCCAGGTCTCTGGAAGGCGCCGCAGCCCCCCCGTGGCTGTTTCCCCAGCCGGGGGGAGCCCCGAGGAGGACTGGGGGTGCCGCGGTACCCAGACGGGCAGGGGAGATGTCCCAGGCAACACCACCGCCTGCCTCGCTGGGAGGATGCTCAGGTTTTGTTCTCAACCACCCCCAGCCCCGCTCCCCAAGGGCTGTGGGTGTCCTGCCAGGCTCGGGGCAGGCAGGCAGCAGCACCAGGGGCAGAGCCCCCCGCAAAAACCCCTCCTGGGGTGGGGGCACCGGGGTCTGGCCGGGCTGGGGGGGAGCTGGGGCGCTTTCTTTTGGGAAGGCGCGGTGAGGTGAGGCACTCAGGCAGCCTTATCTCTGTTTCCCAAAGCCACGGGCTGATCGTTTGTCAAGATGAGCGCGTGCGGTGGAAGGGATGGAGCTGCTCCAAATCCCCGCTCCAGTCTCTTCCCCGGGCTCGGGGCCATCCACGGAGGTGCCAGAGCGGCGGTGCTGGCAGGCAGCGCGCTGGGGCTGCGGTTTGGGGAGGGCCGGGGGGGGCAGCCACAGGTTGGGCAGGGAGCAGGACACCTCCAGGTGGCTTTATTTAGGTACCCACGGGCATCCTTCTGCCAGGAAGGCTCTCAGGGCAGATTTGGCAAGGGCAAGGGGCAGGCAGGAGGTCTGATGTGTGGAAAGGGGGGGAGGGAGGGGGGTGCTGGGTTTTAAAAAGCTTTTCCCGGCTGTGCCAGCACCCCGGGGACAGGTGAGCATCAAGAGGTGACAGCCGTGGGCACGGAGCAGGAGCATCCCCGGGGGCGGTCCCAGCTGGTTCAGCAGCACGCAGTGAGGAGTGCTCCTCTCCCAAGGGTACCCCGCAAATCCCGGGGGGACTGCAGGGCTTTGGGGCTCCCCCCGAGCAGCTCTGCCACGTCTGCTCCCCCCCTTTCCATCTCTGCCGGGCCTCGTTTTTCCTAGGGACAGTCCCTGCTGCAAGGAGCCCTGCCCTGGAAGGTGGAGGAGCAGCAGCCCGAGGTTTTGGTTTAAAGAAATGCCACCAGCTGGGATGTCTGATCTTCAGGGCTTGGCCACGTCCTCCCCTGACAGCTGGCGTGCTGTGCAGAGCTGTGCCTCTGCCTCTGCTCCAAATTGGCCGTGTGCTCAGCTGGGCCAACCTCTGCCTTTCCTGCGGGCCGGTGGCAGCAGCCCAGGGATTGAGCCACAAAACCTCCGCTCGGTGACCTCATTGCTGCGCACGGTGGAAGAAAAACACCGCAAGAGCGGAAAGAAAATGCTTTTCCTTTGGGACCTGGGGAATACTGACGGACACTAGCATGAATTGACCTGTTTTTTTTGCTGAGTTTGAAGAGCCAGCACCAAGGCACAGCTGAGCTAATCGTAACCTCAGAGCCTGGTTTCTGACCCTCCTGCAGAGCCGAGGGATCGCCCGCATCCCACCCAACGCTCGGGGGGCTGCCTGCTCCTGCGGGCACAAGTCGTGTTTGATGGGGTGGCCGTGGTGACAGCCAGACCTCAGGTCCTCTGTCTCCATCACCTCCAGGGTTTTGGGGGCAGGAGCCACGTGGAGCTTTCCTGGCTGCTCCAGATGCCTCCTCGTCTCAGGGCAGGCGTGTGGCTGGGATGGAGAGCCGCCCACAGAGCCCATGTGGGACAGGGCAGATTCTCCAGTTTGTGCCTGTTCTGGCCAAGCTGTGGCCGTTTTTCCTGGAGATGGGATCCAGGGGAAGCAGGCAGGTTCCCCCTGCT